AAAAAAATAATCTGATTATTACACTATAATCTATCTGCTTTTTTTTGAAATATTTCTTTTTATTCTAAATACTTCTTTAAGTCTTTCCTGTTATTTGCATTTTTATATTAATATATTTTTTATTATTATATTATAATTTAATTTTATCACTCTTTAATCTAATTACCATTCTTTTCTTTTTATTTCTGAATCCTTTATAATCCAAATTTTATATTAAGAATATTAATTACCCCTTTATACCTATTTGAATATTAGTTTAAATGCCAGATATTTCCCTTTTGTATCAGTTTGAGTACTATTTTATGTACTCTTTTATGCTAATTTAGGTGTTATTTAGTTGCAAAAAAAATATCATATTAAGTGGTGCATTAATATGATGTAAATTCATATTTAAATTCAATTAGCACTATGGTATAATGCCAGTTAATCTTTGGTATATAATTTGATAAACCTAAGTTGGTATTATAGTAGTGATCTGATAATATCTAAAACTCTTCTAGAACTATTATAAAACTAGTAAAGAACCAGAAAGATTCTATTAGTTCGCCAGTTTTAACCACTTGTATACCAGTTTAGATACCAAATTTTTATGTCTAAAGTTCAAGCTGAAATTATGAAATAGTATTAACCAAAATTATTATAATTTACTATGCCTTACTATGCTAAAAAAATCATATGCATTTTAAGAATTTTAATAGAAATATTGATTTAATTAAAGTAGTTAGTTAAAAAATTAAAGGTATAATAAGTATTACTATAACCAGTTTTTTAATTGACAGAAAGTATATCCTTTTGTAATTTAACTATTGCTTATTAATTGCTGGTAAAGCTTACAATCTCTGCTAAAGTATTGTCACATTAAATCATCTTTATTGAAATAAAATATTAGTAGCAAAAATTAATCAAATCAAATTTATAACAAAATAAAATAAATCAAATTAGTAGTATAAAGCATATGATTAATAAAAATATAACTTTAAAAATCCTTTTCCATATTTTATCCTAAAATAAATATTAATTATGGCTTAAGTGAATAATAAATATATTTAAAATAACTTTTAATAATTCATGTTTTTATTAAGTCAAAAATTAAAGTTCAAGATTAATCAAATTTTACAAATATTATAACAATTATTTCTTATTTACACATTAGTTTTTTAATCTAGTATTTTCATTTATATACTAGTAAAACTAATTTCTTAAATGATAAATTACTTCTTATTATAATTTAGTAAAACTAGTTTTATAATGATCTCATTATTATAACTATGAATATTACATTATATAAATCATTTATTCTTCTAATTATTTATCTTTTTGGCTAATTATTTATTTGATCATATAATTATTTGCTTGATTTTCTGGAACTATACTAATATAATTATGCTAATTTTATGTTTTAAAGTTTGAATTATTAAAGTGCATTCATATTGTATTTCCAGTTGATTAAAAATTAATAATACGGTTTGGGACACAATAATTCATCAAATAAAATTGTTCAAATTAGAAATTTAATAAAAATATTTGGATGCATATATTTAAAATAACTCAACATAGTTTAATTGTTACTAACTTAAACTACAAAATGATGTTAAGATTATCCTGATTGGTGATCTAGATCAAAAGTTATTAGCCTGCAAAGTTCAGTATTTTCTTAATAAACGGTAGGATTTGAAACATCTAATTCTGGCTAGAATTTGACAAAATTCTATAATTTAGGCCAGAACTATGACTGGCTGAAAGGTAATGCAGATCATAGAATTTTTTTCCATAACATGACTAAAGAGACAAGTACAACACTGTTAAAAAATAGCTAAAAAAAGAAAAAAAGCTGTGAAAGATTTGTTTCAAATTTTATTTTTGAAAATATTGATGATTAATAAAGTAAAACATTTCCGATATGGTTTAATTTTTAACCAATCGCAAATTAGTGTTATATATATTACGTGATTTTTTAAAATCTTAATTTGAAACAACTTGATGATTTGTTGTATTCCCAACTATATAATATATATATCATAACTATACTTCTCCACTAATTAATTATGTCATATTTTGGTAAACAGACCAATTCACTATTTATTATAAAATTACTATGAATTAATTACGTCTATCAAAAAATACATTACGTCTGTCAAAATAAATTTAATTAGTATTTTATCATTTTGACGAAAAGTATAATCATAACCAGTCATTTGATTGCCAAAAAGTATGTTATCTTGCAACCCAACTATTTTTTATTTATTGTTAATATATTTATACCAATTTTATGTCCTGATGTTTGAATTATTAGAGCACATTTATATTATATTTCCAATATATTTTAGACATATTAAGATGCAAAATAGGATGGAACTAGGATGTAAAATAAAACAGATCTTTATATATACTATTTGCAATTCTGTTTTAAAAAAAAATTAAAAAGTTTACTAAGTCACTTTCTAAAGTAAAATTTGATATTTGAAAAAGTATTTTAATTTGTTCCTTCATTTTTTTTCTAAGTATATTAGATGTCTTAATAAAAAATAAAGTTTTAGAAAAAAAAATGAATTTTTTCTATGCTATTTTATTTGGTATATACACTTCCATAAGAACCCTAAACAATACTGATATAACTCACATTTGAGTTTGTGTAGAGTTTATATTAAAATTTTTCAAAAGTTGCATATTACAGGAGTATTTTTAAAATTTTGTTATCTTACATACCCATGTTTTTAATATAACCAGTAATTCGATTTTACTAAAATTTATATGAATTCATAGCATCAATATTGACAGAATTATGTCATAAAATGTGTTTTTACTTCAGTATTTAAAGTTTACTTGTAAGTTATATTAGTATTATTCGGTGGTCCTCTTTTATACAATAAGTTTAGAATTACCTTATTTTTAATTATATATATATATATATATTTATTAATTTCTATAGATGCGATCTTGTTTTAATATAACTATACCTATTTACATATACTAAACTTATAAAAATAAGAAAAATATAATATATATAAAAACAGGACTCCACTTACTTATAATAAAGGTCACCGTAGAAAATTGCCCTTTACTAATAGTTTTTACCTTACTTTTTTCTTAAATTTTATTGGTTAATTAGCTAAAAAGGAAAACAATCATAACAATGTAACATAAAATTTCCTTTTATAGTAGGATTTGCAAAGAATTTTATATATGATTTTTACCTTAGGCCTGGGGATAACCTATCTTATAAGTAAGCGGGATCTTATAAAAACTAAGCATTATAAAAAAAGACTACTCCTCTGAAGAAAAAGTCGACCTGTCACCTAAATGCTTATATTACTATTATAAATAATGATACAACTAAAAATTTTAAGTGACTGTTAAGATCTACCTAAAAATTTGCCCAATGACCTTCTCAATAGAATATTAAATCATTCCATTTGTTTTAGCTAATTAGTCTCACTCTGTTCTATTATAATGTGCTTCCCATCACATTTTTTACTATTTGATTTTGACTTTGACTTCTTTTTTTTGTTTTTATTACTAATATTATATTTTTTTTCTTTTCTACACATTATAAATAATATGTATGTATAATTCTTTCTTTATTAATAAAAGCTGTATGTATCCCTTAACCTATTTTGCAGCCAAATTTGCCTGCAATTTTATTTTTTAATTAAAGTCACTTTTAAATACCTTAAAATATTTTATTATATAAACCAATATTTTTATAATAAATTCTATAGTATTTCTAAGTAAAAATCAAAAAAAAAGTTCAATTTGATTAATGATTTTTTAAAAGTAAATGATTGACAAATTATAACAAATAGTAGCTAAATTTTTTAGATTGAAATATCTTTTTATCCATTAATCCTAGAAATATAAAATTACCACCATTTGATACATTTTAATGAGAAAAATCTGATAGAAATAAAATTATCCTTCTACAAATATTATGTGACAGGATAACTTATAAAAGCTAAAAATTTATGAATTAATATAACTTTTTATTTATCAATTTTAAAGTTATGATTTTATTACTATTAAATGCGTCTTAATAAAAGGAATCTAACAAATATAATTTCATCTTTCTATAATTACTAGATCTTAAGATACTGTAAAAATTCCAAATTTTTAAAATTAATTTTAGCCTTTACAGTTTAACTATTTAAGGAATAATACAGAATGATGAAAAAATAAACAAACAATTGTACCAAAAATAATTCTTTAAAACTACTTAAAAGAAGTCTATATATTTTTCTTTCAAATGAAATTTGCCATATGTAAATATAATCAAATATGGAATGATATGTATGAAATAAAATTCAATAGATATCTATCTATATATATTTTTTTCTAACTAAATAGCCTTATGTAAATATTATCAAATAGGAAATATTATTAAACTAATAAATAATTATTCATTTTTTCCATTTTGATAATTTATTTAGGACCCCGGATATCTCCAAAACAGGTTATAAGTCACACTTTCGGCAGATTGGCCCATTTTTTTGGGTTCAAAAAATCGTTTTTTGTAAATATCTCGGCATCCAGTAGGCCAATTTTGATGAACTCTTTTTTAAATTGTAAAGCTAAATGAGGGCTACAAAATAAAAAAAGTTTATTAAAATTAAATCACTGGATGCTGAGATATTTACAAAAAATGATTTTTTGAGTTTTAGCAAAAAGGGGTGTTTTTGGCCAAAAGTCTATTATGACCTTTATATTAGATATCCGGGGTCCTATTTATTTCTCAACAATTAGCCATCCCACAAAAGAAAATAGAAAACCAAAACAAGAATAACTAATTGTATACTTTAACCTCCTTTAACACCACAATCTCTTTTAATTTTATGAACTCTAATTGCATGTTAGGTAATTACATAATTATAAGTGATGCCAGGTGCTCTTTTCTTTCTTCTAACCACATTACCATAGGACTTTAATGTATTCAGATCTTTAACACTATTCAACTCTCTATGAAATTTGGGTCTTGTTATGAGCATCACTTTTTCTAAAATTTCTTACTAGAAAGCAAGATTCACTTGCTCACTAATTTTCAAAACTTCCAGAATTTGCATGATGTTTTCAATTTTAGCCTCTTTACTAAAACTAATTGACTTTTCTGTCACAATATTATCTTCTAGATCAAATAAAGATTTCTTTTTCTTTCTTAATTCATAAAAATGTTTCTTGTCGAAAGAATGATTAATAAAAATTTCCTTTTTTAATATATTATATCCTGTTTTACTTGACACTTGATCTATAAGAAACTTCATTTCCTTTACTGATATATATTGTTTCTTAAGAATATCTTCTCTACATTTCAACTGATTAAAGATGTTAGCCGTAATTCAAAAAAGTGTCATAATACAAAATTTTTATATGCCGTAATTAATTAAGGCTATAAAAATCTTATAGCCGTAATTCAAAATTTTTTAAAAAATAATTAAGGCTAACATCTTTACAACCGATATTTGAAATATAAGTTTTTGATACAAAACCATTACTTGTATTCCGCCATTTATTCTTATTATTTTTTAAGCTATTAAAAAATCTTTTTTATATTTTTCTTGTTCCTTACATATTTTGAACTGCTTATTAAAACTCAAGTTTAAATATATAACTGCATAATTACTTATTTGTATAAGTTAGTGTTTGGAATCGAATATATTCGAATATACTCGAGTATTCATTTAAATTTATAAAGTGTATTCAAATAATATTCGAATAAGTTAAATTTCCTTTTATAGTAATGATTTACATAATTTTTAGCCTGAATTATGATTTTAACTCAGTTAAATTTAAGGATTTAATGCCCAATTAGAATTTTAACTATACTATATCTGGCTAAATGAATACTCGAATAACCACTATGCTTATTCGAATACTCGAATATACTCGAGTTATTCGAATAACTGTTACATGATTCCAAACACTAGTATAAGTAACACCTATACGTTTACTTATTACCTATTTAATCTGACTGTAATTTTGGAACATGTTTTGCAGCAGAGGTAAAGGTATTTCTATTACCTTAGGATGATAATTTTGACATACTTTTCTATCTCATGATATAACATATGGATAGACATTACTACAAAGAGAGCATGGAATATAATAACTCAAATACTATACTTGTTTGCCATAATTAAATCTAATATATATTGTAGTTTGTCTATTCTTATCCTGCTTCTTTAATTTTATCTCTATCGTGACAAATTTATCTAATAATAACTGATGTATTCTTGAATAGTATTTATTTCTAGCTTCTAAATCAATAGGTAATCCACAAAATACGCTTGTCAAATATTTTGATATCCATATATTTCATATTCATAATAGCCCTATTTAAGTTAACTTTAAAAGGTTTATCATATTTATTTAAGGTTGCTTGCCGAAACCTAGGGGTTTAGGCAAGATGGCGTTTTGCCAAACAGCGAAATTTTGCTGAAACTATATTAAAGTTATATTAAAAAACTGGCAAAACTTTGGAGAAAGGTGAAACTGCCAAAACTTACTATTATAAATGCCAAAACTGCCAAAACTCTGCCAAAACTATAATAAATCTATAGTAAAATTTTGACGAAACCAATCATAGAATTTTGAAGAGGTTTAGACAAGTAATCTTAAATTCATATTTCTTAACAATATATCTATTGTTAGTTATAATCATCAACATATCTTTCTCTTTCTGAAGTAAATTCACGTGTAAAAGGATGTAAGACTTTTCTTTTCGAGTGAAATATAATGTGTTGGCCCCAGTATACTGTTTCACACTAACTGAATGGAAAAATGTATAGCCGATAGAAATTTCTTTTTTCGGCATTGTCAACTTAATTGATGCACTGTATTTACGCTTTCTTTTGAAGAAAAACTTTACAAGAAAGTAAAACTATTTTTATAAAGGAAAATAAGTTCTTATAAATTTTTGATAATGTAAAAGACTGATAATAAAATATGTGTTGTTTAAACCAAGAAACACTTTTGCCTTAATATTGAACTGTTAGTTTCTTATTAATATAATAAGAAAAATGCGGTTTGTTTTTTATGTGAAAAATAGATATGAATGGTATAGGACTATGGGAAAGAATTTTTCCATTACATTGTATTTTTGATTATATTAATAAAGTTTTATTTTTATTTATATAATTTATTTTTTTTAAAAAAAAATTTTTATTATAATTTTTTATATAAATATAAAAAATTATTATATTTGCATTTATAAATCATATAAAATAATTTTTTTTTTTTTAATAGTAAAATTTTAACTCTTTAATAAAAGCAGTTATTTTTTTTCTTTAAATTTTTTAACAATTATATATTATTTTCTGCAAGTGTATTTATGCTATTAAATAATAATAAAATAAATACAAAATTCTAATATTTTAGCTAATAATAAAATTATATTCCAAATTTCATAAAAATTGAGTTGATAATTAAAAATTGACAATTTATATATAAGACTTAATAAAATATTATTAATTTTTTAATAATTATTGATTTGATCTTTATGAAATTTGAAATATAATCTTAACTATTTAAATTTTATACTTATTTTTATAATTATTCTAATTGAAAAGTTAAAAATTTATCATTAAGAAAAAAAATCTTATATTATATAGTTTATAAAAATCAATATAATAATTTTTTATATTTATTTAAGAAATTACAATGTAAAGAATTTTTTTTAAAAAAAAACATATAAATAAGAATAAAATTTTATTTAATATTATTAAAAATAAAGTGATCCTAAATTTTTAGCGCAGAAATATATATGTATATTTGTCTTACAAGTCAATAATGATAATAAAAGTATATATTATGAAAAGCTGAAAACTTTATAATTTTAAGATCATCAGGCATAAATTAATTATGTATCTTTCCAGTAGATCTACATGTAAAAAAGTATGAAAATTTTATTTGTATATACTTTTATAGAATTTTTAGTATTAAATAATAATACAATTATCCTTAATTTTTTTTAGTAAAATATAAAGTATGTAGGAGTATGTGAAAGTTTAGACAACTTTTTGTAAAAAAAATAAGATATATATAATATAATCAGACCTTTATGTAATTACTTTCTATATAATCACAATTAAAATTTTAAATAGTTCAATTCAGTTCCATTTTCTGATTCTTTTCTAATTGTTTAAAATCTGTTTTATACAATAATTTGCCATTCAGTAATCATAGAAAGCTAATCAACAGCTTGTTAGAATTATCTTGTTAAGATAGTTCAAATGATACTAAAATCATTTTTCTAATATCAATAGATAGCAAGTTAATTTTGCCAATTTTTAAAAAATAACTCATCAACTATCAATGTTAGAAAGATGATTTTAGTATTATTCAAACCATCTTAACAAGATGATTCCAACAAGTTATTGATCAGTTTTTTTTGATCACTGAATAGCAAGTTATTGTATAAAATAGGCTCTAACTAATCAAAAAAGAACTGAAAAATGTAAACTATTTGAAGCTTTAATCACAACTTTTTGTAAATACATATTTATCTGTATTCAACTTAAAATTAATTAAAAACTCCTTTATAATCATTTATATTATAGAGTTACTATCACCAAAAATAATCTGTAACATAATTTCTGATTGGTTATTAAAAAATTGATATCAAAATAGTATTAAAATGATATTAAAATAATAATAGAAATGACATTGAAACAACATCTTTAAGTTTAACTTAAAGATGTCATTTCAATGTCATTTTAATTATCATTTCGATATCAAAACAATACCGTTAACAATATCAATTCTATATTGATTAAAAATGTTAAGTTTTTGTAAAGAAGTCAAATATAAATTTGAGTTTTACTTTTTTGATATGTATTCGGCTATTATTTAAATAGTTTGATATTTTTAATTTTGATAAAATTATTAAAAATTAACAAATCAATTGTTATTATTAATAAAAATTAATTAAAAAAAAATATTGGTCAATTTATGGTTTTTCTTAATTAAAAATCAACCAAAAATTGACTAGTTGATTTATACTAAATTTTTTTTCAATTTTTATAATTGACTGAATGTTTGATAAATCATATAATGATGATAACAAACTTTTGATGAAAGGTATTAATGCTAAAAGAAATGATTTTGACTAGTAAATTTAAATATTTATGATATAATTTAAAAAACTATAATTTATATATCATATTATAATCTAAAAAAATAACCTGATTACTACATTATAATTTATCTGTTTACTTTTTAAATATATATCGTTAATTTTTTTTATTAAAGAAATATTAAACTAATTGTTTCTTTATTTTTTTATAGTTTTTCTTTTTAGACTTTATTGGATTGATAAAAAAATTTTAAATTTTCAACATTTCTTTATTTTTTTTTGTAAATTTTTTTTATCAAATTGGTGAGTAAATTTCAAATTTTTGAAACTTTAACATTTTTTTTATTGAAAAACTATTTATAACTAGTCTTCTTTTTTTATAGGTTCTTCTTTAGATTTTATTGGATAGGTAAGTAAATTTTGAAATATTTTTAAAACTTCATTTTTTCATATTAAAAAAACAATTTGCTAATAGTTTCTTCTTTTTTTGTAGATTTTTTCTGGATGAATGGATAAATTTTAAAATATTTTTAAAATTTCATTTTTTTATTAAAAAAGAAACAGTTAACTAATTATGTTTTTACTTTTTTTTATAGATTTCCTTTTTTGAACTTTATTAAATTAGGTAAGTTTTTTTTGAAATAAATTTTTTTGTTTAAAAATGGGTTATTGCCTGTTTTTCCTTTTTTTTGTAAGTTTTTTTCAGACTTTTATCAGGTTGAGTGAGGATATTAGATGAATGATGAATAGTAGATAGTAAATAGTATATATAGATGATAGATAAATATTAAATTTAATATGTAATTTTAATAAAATGAATTAATAAAATGAATTAATAAATTCTTATTATAAAATTAAAATTAGCTAAATAAACAAAAATCAGTTTTATTAATAATCGTTATTAATTTGTTACCAATTTCTACTAATCAATTTGTTGATAAGTAGTAGGTAAACTATACAAATTGTCTATAATAATTTTGACAATTTTTTTGGCAATAATTGGTTGAATTTAGACCAAATTTTATTTAATATTTGTTAATTTGAAATTTAGATGAAATGGAATATTCTGACCAATAATTATAATGTAGTATTTAGATTATATCATAGTATTCATATTATAATATGGTATTCAGATTATAATATAGTATTCAGATTATAATATATTATTTAGATTATATTGTAGTTAATGTAGTATTTAGATTATAGTGTAATATTTATAGTATTATAATCTAGACTAAGTAGGATTTAAAATAAATAAATTAAAAATTAAAAAAAAATAATAAAATAAATAAATACTAAAATTTATTTGTTTAAAAATAGAATTTAATATTTATATTTTTATCAAATTTAAATATTAAGAAAATTAATTTGTGATTCAGATAAGAAGAAGTAAATTATTAAGTAATTTTCAAATGTATATGTCAATGAATTCATAAATTTTTAGCTAAATGATTTAAAAATTTTTATTAAAAAACTTTAAGATTGGCTTTATCTTACATATATATTTAAATAATCTTTATAAAGCTTAAAATTTTAACATAAACTTTTGAAACAAGAGTAATAAAAAATTGAAAAAATTAAAATCTCAAAAATTTGAAAAAAAATACTTTATATATATTCAGAATATATGTGCAAATTATTTTTAAGGTCTAAAAGTCCATATTTATAAAATTATTTAATTTTAAAAAGTGAAATTTTCATAATTTTTAAGTTAGTGTTTACATAAATCAATTTATAACACAGTGTAACTCTAATAGGATCCTGGAAAATACATAAATAGGTAAAATCCAGTCCAAAAAATTTTACTATGAGCTCTAAGCATTTTTTTAGGACCAGAATTATAATAATACTAGCTAGTTTTTAAATTAGGAAATTAAATCTCTGACCGGTATTATCTAAAAAGGAAAGATTTACACAATTTTTTGGCAAATTCTAAGCAACTTGAAATCTTACCTATTTATATATTTTCTGGGGTTTTACAGGACCCCGCTTACTTATAATAAAGGTTACCATAGAAAATTGGCCCTTTACTAATAGTTTTTACCTTACTTTTTTCTTAAATTCTATTGGTTAATTAGCTAAAAAGAAAAAAAATCATAACAATGTAACATAAAATTTCCTTTTATAGTAGGATCTGCAAAAAATTTATATATGATTTTTACCTTAGGCCTGGGGGTGACCTATTTTATAAGTAAGCAGGGTCCTAATCCTACTCTGATTATTTTTGAAGGATAAAAACATATTTTGTGAATAACTTGATTTAGCAGTTTGATTTTGATGATTTTTTTTTATTTTAATCAAGGTAATAAGAGCTATTAATTAAAAAAAGATCATTGAAATTAGTTACCAAATTCTGAAATAATTATTTTTGTAATCAAATCAAGTTTGAATCAAGCCTGAATTGAATCAAATTTTAAAGGAAAAATTTAATTTGTGGAGAATACTATTTTTAACGATTTTTACAAGAATATTGATTTGCATTAATTTATCATTCAGTGAATTATTTTAGAAGGATAAAATATAGCTTATTAGATTCATCTTAATGAAATGCATTAAATGGTACTATATTTATTTCTGTAGGATTAATAGATAATCTGTTATTCAGAAAAGTTCTAAAACAGAAAAATATAATAAGAAATACTTTATTTTTTATATTACTTTTTATTTAGTAATCAATTAATATATATTCAAAAGTATGCATTTATAAATTTGGTAACTCATAGTTGATGCTTACTAGACAGAAATTATACATGTACATTTTTACTAAAAATTTTACTAATTGGTGATCTTTAAAAATTAATTACAAAACTTTGAATTTTATAAGATTATTTTAAAGATAAAGCAAACCTTAAAGTTTTTTCAGTAAAAAATTTAAATCATTTGGTTAAAAATTGATGGATTTATCTATGTAGGACACATACATTTGAAAATTGTTTAATAGCTCACTCCTTCTTACAAATTAAGTTTTTTTAATATAAGAGTATAATTTTTTATTTTTAAAAAAGTATTATTACACTCTTTTTAAAATAATAATTTACTAATTTCTTATAAAATTTCTTATAAAAATTAAATAATTTAATAAATAAATAATATATAGTGATGGTCCATCATGATGTACTTTTGCCCAGAATTAAAAATCTAATCCGGCATTAAATCGTAATTTCACCACCGGCGGTGAGTGGCCATCACATCCGGCAATACCCTAAAAAATTTTATATTTACAATTTAACTATCCTTCAAATGTAATATATGCACCTGGTAATTCTGGTAATTAGTAAGCCCACATTGTGACACATTGCAAATATTTTTAGAATTGTATGATTCCTGAAGTCTGTAGAAATGTATAGTAATTTTTGTTAATTTTTGTTAAATATGCAGGACAGATGACGGCATGAGTTGTTATTTTACTTAATAATAATGCGTCTATATAGTATATATTTAAAAATCAAGTATCTTATTTTTTATTTCTTAATTATTCTTTTTATTTCTTTGTTGATACTTCAATTTTTATTTATATTAAATTAAAACAACTGTTTAATTTATAAGTGACAAAACAATTTGCTTAGAAATTTTTTATTAAGTTATAGAATTTTACATAATATATGTTTTTAATGCGTTGAGATTATAAACTAGTAAATTTAGATAATAAAAATATTGAATTTTATACATTGCTAATGATTAAGTCATCTAGACTTGTTGTTAATCGAAGACTTTTTTTTAATAAACATAGTAAAATAATAATTAATTATTTCTTTGTTTTTAAAAATAAAATAAAAATTTACTTAGATAGCAATACATTAATTAATAAATAATATACAATTTTCTTAAAATAAATTCTAATCTATAGTTGATGGCAATATTAATGATGATGAGCCAAGTTTTGATGTCTGTTTAAACTTGCAGGCTTTCTAAATAATTTTCCGCATTTACATTTGTGTCTTTCGTTCATGCGGTATGCTAACCGACTTCTTTTTTGTGAACTCTCTCCTGTTGTTTCATTTAGTGAAGTCGTATATGCATTTTGTTTAGTTGTAGATGATAAATCACTACTATATTGTTCTTCATATTCAAATTTCCTTTTTGAAGATTGTCGTGAAGTTGTAGAATATATATCAAAGAATGGTACATAGTTCCAAAAGTGGTGATTGATTTCAGATTTGTCCGCTATTTTATTGGCAATATTATTATTGCCTTCAAAATCTGAATACGCATTACCTCTATTATAATTAGGTAAATTATATTCATTCATTTGTTCGTCTACAAAATCTGCGCAATTATCACCATTAACAAAAGATAAATTACTATCGTCAATATTTAATTCCTCACTTCTAATTAGTTTGTCTGATTTAATATTAACAGTCGTGCCATCTCTCAAATTTTCGTTAAAAGTCTTATAGTATTCACCATTACTATTAGGAGATTCATAACTATCATCACTTAAATATTCCTCATTGCATGGTTTTACAGTTTGATTATCATTGCGAAAAGATCCGTATGGCTCCATTTCAAGTCCAATGGTTTCGTCATAACGTAAAAACTCTTCTAAACTGTCTTCAAATTCTTTTTGCTTAGATAAATCAATTTTAGCTCGATAATTACCGCTTAAATATACTTCGTTGTGAAGAGATTCGTATGGCTCCACTTTAATCTTAACAGCTTGGTTCTTATCACTTAAGTTTCTTTCCGCTCCGTAAAAAGATTCATATGATTTCATCTTAATGTGAACAGGTTTATTATTATCACTTAAATTTCTTTCATTTCCAAAAGGTTCATATGATTGCATCTTAATGCGAACAGTTTGATTATCTCTTAAGTTTCCCTTCGTTCCGTAAAAAGGTTCATATGGTTCCATCTTAGCGTGAACGGTTTGATTATTATCGTTTAAGTTTCTTTCCTCGCCGTAAAAAGGTTCATATAGTTTCATAACGTGAACAGTTTGATTATTATCGTTTAAGTTTCTTTCTTCACTGTAAAAATGTTCATATGGTTTCATAACGTGAACAGTTTGATTATTATCGGATAAGTTTCTTTTCTCGCCGTAAAAATGTTCATATGGTTCCATCTTAACGTGAACAGTTTGATTATTATCGTTTAAGTTTCTTTCCTCGCCGTAAAAAGGTTCATTTGGTTCCATCTTAACGTGAACAGTTTGATTATTGGCGCTTAAATTCCTTTCCTCATCGTAAAAGGATCTTCCACATGGTTCCATTTTAGCTCTAATAGTTTCGTCATAACGTAAAAATTCTTCCAAGCTATCGAAAGATGGACAATTCTCAGTTTGCTCTGTTTTAATCTTACTTTCACTAAAAGGTTCATGTGAACTCATTTTAGCTCTAACAGCTTCATCACGTAAAAACTCTTCCAGACTTTTTAAATCTTCAAATGACTCAATTTTAATTTCAACGGGTTGATCATTGTTTTCATGTACATCTCTTTTCTCGCAGTTAGAATATTCACATGGCCTGATTTTAACTTTATGAAGTGTGTTGTCACGTAAATCATCTTGAATTCCGACGGGTCGATCATTTTCATGTACATTTTTCTTGAAATTAGAATATTCATATGATCCAATTTTATCTTTAACTTCTTTAATTTCAACAGGTTTATAATTTTCATGTACATCTCCTTTCTCGCAGTTAGAATCTTTACATGATCCAATTTTAATTTTATTAATTGTGTTGTCAGGTAAGTCATCTTCCAAATCGTTAAGAAGTTCACGTGAGTCCATTTTAACACAAACAGTTTCATCGCCACTTGTCTTGCTACCGTACTCATATCTCTCCATCTTAATGCTGACAGTTTCATCACTCGACTCGTTATTAGGATTCTGAGCTTGAATTGTTCCAGTGTAGTGATTAACAAAATTTGGAACTTGTTTCTCGGAGCCAAAAGGTGAAGAATTTTCCATTTTGATTATAACATGTTCGTCGTAGATGTCGATAATGCTGTTATCCATCTCAAAATCATTGTTGGGACCATATAAATCATCCTCAACACTTCTCTCCGAGAGATTATCAAAGCTTTCTGTATCGTCTTCTTCTTTAGTATAAACGTCACTAATATCGTCTCTCTCGCTATCTTCCAAATCGTCGTCACTATATTCTTTATCGGCCTTCAAAGAATTAAAAGTATATGATAAATAAACCAAAGGAGAAAAGTAAAGATCGATTATAATTTCTACTTACATAATAATTCGTAGAATCACAATCACTTTCAGAAGCAATATAATCATAGTCATAGTTATCGTAATCACTTTCAGAAGCAAAATAATTATAGTTATAGTTATAGTTATCGTAATCACTTTCAGAAGCAATATAATCATAGTTATAGTTATCGAAGGGTATCGTTCCAAAAGGTGCCATAGAAAACATATTATGTTCAAATAATTTAGCAGTCATTTTTGTTACCTTTTTATTTTTATAAAAAAAAAAAGAAAAGAAAAGAAACGCAATACAATAAGCTTCACTTATTTTAGAGACGCCTAAAAATTTTATATAATAAAATAAACGTTACCCGATATTTCGTAAATAAACTTTTTTCTTTGAACAGGAATAATATTTATTTTTTTTTTTTTGAAGAGAAAAAATATTTTTTGAAGAATATATTTTTTTTGTCAAGGTATTTAAGTATTTTTTGATAAAAAAAAGATGACTTATATATATACTTATGTTCTGTACACGATAGAGAATTTATTATAGCGTGATAGCGTGAGGATATACCAATTATGGTTAACAAATTTATAATGTTATATATGACATCAACTAATTAGATTATGAATTATGAACAATAAAACGCGAAAATAGACTTTTATTATGAATGATGTAAAATGATACAAAATTTAAACTCCCTTATAACAGAATAATTACAACTCAACAAATTATTACTTAATTAGTGTAAATTAATCTGATGTACTTTCATATATTTTGCCCTTTTAAATCTCCTTCCGCAGTTACCAATATCACAAACGAAAGGTCTTTCAATATTATGAGTTTGTCTATGATCTGCTAAGTTAGATGATCTATTAAATGATTTATTACATCCGGGATTATCGCATTTGTAGGGAAATAAACCATTATGAGTTTTTTTATGCCTTGAAATATCTTCAGGATATGTATATTGCCTTGTACAACCTGGAAAATCACACTTGAATTTTTCTTTAGAATGAGAATACATGTGTCTTGCCAAACTATTAGCAAATTCATATCTTTTTTCGCACCTTGGAACAATACACTTGTGAATCAATTTTACTTCAGGCTTTTTTTTATAAACATTAATCTTTTCTCCAGCATGTCTCTTTTTGTGTCTAAGATAATGAGATGAGTAATAATAACTACTGTTACACCCCGGAAAGTTACACTTGTAAGGTTTTCCTTGATGAGTTTTAACGTGATCTTTCATAGAATCCAATCGGCTATACCTTTTTCCGCAATTCTTAACTGTACACACGTAAGGTTTTTCTCCAGTATGTGATCTTGTGTGAATTATTAAACTTTGTGATTTGACGTATCTCTTTCCACAACCTGGTTCGTCACAAACAAATGGTCTTACAATACCATCTTCATATTGAGAAACAATTTTTTTTTGCATTCGTTTAAGAGATTTTTGTTCAGGAGAACGATTTTGAGATTGTTTCAAAAGGTTGTTTCGACGTTTCATGAGAGTTTCTCTACGTTGTTGGAGGGAACCTTTACAGGATAATTTTATTTCTTCGTATACATACTTTTTAATGAAAAACTGTTGCATCATTGGTCTTGATATATAAATCGGTTTTTCTTTCTTGACATCAACAATATCTTTACTTTCATTAGAACTAGCATTATCGACGGTTTCTTCTTTCTTGACAAAGACAATATCTTTATCAACGTCTTTATCGATGTTAGTATTATCATCATCATATATTCTCTTTATAGTAATATCTTTATTTTGCTTCTTTTCAGTTTATTAAATATAATAAATTATTATTATTATTATTATTAATTATTATTATTTTTGCAATATAGTAACCTCTTACCTTATCAAAGATACAGTATATACTAGATTTCGATGGTAAACAAGGTTTATAAAGATTAGAACTTTTTTCAAAAGTACGTCCCATTTTTTTTTTTCTGCCTTCGTAAATAGAAAGAAAAAAGAAAATGGATCATTTCGAAACGAAATCAAGCAATTTTTAAGTTCTCTCTAATTTTTTAAATGTGAATATTTTCCTTAAATAGAACTCAAGATAAAATTTGATTTACAAATTCTAATTTTTAAAACGTGCAGTTTTTTTTTTTTTTTTTTTTTTTTGTACAAACAATTAAGACTCTTTAAGGAGTAACTTGGGAAAATTTTCTTTTGATTTATATAATTTATTTCATTATTTTTTAAAATCTTTTTAGTTTATGGCTACTTTTAAAGCGATTGATGATCAATTTAATAGGTAAAATGAAGTTCAAAGAATTTATTTACATTGTACGATACTGTATGACTGTATAGTGGATCAGTGGTGTAAAATCTTTTTTTTTTTCAAAGAATCTTTTATTATTGATCAAGATAAAGCTATATACCGTAAATAAAAATGAAAACAGAAAGGATGTGACGGAGGTGAAGAAATTTATGTATCAGTCATAATATTTTTTTTTTCTTAAACAATTCTTTGAAAAAGTAGTTCGGACGAAATTGTGCATCACGTGAATTACAGAATTTCGGGCTGTCATTTATAAATTTACTTTAAAACCATAATTTTAATTATCACGAGAAATTGTCCTTTCACTACCATTTTCATTATTGTCATTTCGTAAATCTATTGATGGAGGGAATGTAATTTTTGAATATAACCTATCGTAAATTTCAACCACTTTGAAATCTGCAATAACTTTATTAATTTTGTTTTTATTAGTTTTGTTAATTTATGATGGCTGATATGCTGAATTTTGAAGTAGTCTAGGTTTCTGTCATAAAAATGGATAGAAATAGCTCTTTGGTATAGAAAAGCTGATATGAAATTTTACACATGAATTATAATAATTATTATTTTCACAGGAAGCCTTAAATGTAATTGATTACGTTGGTTGAATTTTCAATAAACCAAAAAATTGATCACAGAAAAAAAATTACAATTAACCAATAGTATGGTGACACAAAGATCCCGTATTTTATTATAGTGATTAAAAAAAAGATTATTTGAAACATTTGAAACATTTGAAACCAAACTAAGGAATTTGAAATTCAATCGAATATAATAAGTAATAACGAATATTTTATTCCAAAGCGTCATAAATTAATAAATAACCAAACGTTCGTTTTTTTAACAGTTAATATATCCTATATACGAATCACTAATTAGCAACATAAAATATTTATAACGAGGTGAGAGAACATGATTATGGGCTTTGCATAAAAATGGCCTAGGAAGCTAGGATCCACATACTCCCTCTCTATTTGATGGCACCATATGTTTGTTTCTCTTGCTTCTCTAGAATTTTTCGTAAAAATAAACTCGGGTGATTTTCATCTATTTTTTTTGTACCAATAAAGAAACTCATTCTTGTGTTCACAAAAGCCACAACTAATCAATCAATCAATCAGATCTCTTCATATACAGTATTTACCCCCTATTTTTTTTATAGTAACCTGCGTAAATTGATTTTTCTTAAAATATAAATTTTAAACCAAAAAAAAAAAATAAATAAGTAAATAAAATTCATCGTTAAAATTTCTTAAAATATCATTAATCAGTTACAAAGATTAAAAATTATATATATAAAAAAAAATGATAAATCGTTAAATTTTTCTCTATCTGGAACACACAACTGTACAAACCACACTTTTATTGAGTAATCGTCTATTATGTTTAGAGCGATTCGTTCTCTTAATCTTTTAAAGAAATCTATAAGAACTGCAGCGAAGCAGATAATTCCTCCATCAAAAATGATGAGATAGTTATTAACAATAATGGTATAATGTGTTTAAATTTGCTGTTTTCGCACTCATCTCCGATAATACTAAATACTTACTTAATCTTGTGCTTCCCTTTCCTGTTTCTACTGTTGCGCAGATCTTGATTTAACTAGCGTATCAAGAAATTTTTCCGGGTGCCCGTCATTCGTAGTTTGTTCCGTGGAATGCATCGTGACGAGATTAGAAAATATCTGAACAATCCTAATGTTTGATATATTGTGGATGGCAAAAGACCAAGTAAAGTTGATATCAAGACAATCCCCCATTGGCAGATTATTATATAGACTTTGGTAAACTTAATCTATGTATACGATACATGCCAGCGTGGTCTTGGAGAGAGATTGATACATGCAGGAAAGAGATTTTCAAAGAGATCCACGGCTCCGTCTTCAGTCTTTTAGTAGTGAGAAGGGTAGAAGTTGTACCAAAAATGGGGAGGGTTTTCTGAGTATATCTAAAGACAGCTCTCAATGAAGAAATTCAAGATCAACTCCAAGAAGTCATTGATACATGCAGTAAAAAAGTAATATTCAAATTCATTGATAGTTCACATCTGGATAAATCTTCCAGATGAGGACATTGTAAATGAAATATGATGTTGAGAATGTTTCAGATGTCAAATTTGAAGTGAAACTGATGTTGATGTTGACCTAACCGTGAGACCTCGATTTATACCTCCTCGTCCATTGCGAATCCACCTCGGTTAATTACATATATTGCTTACAATATATAATATTCCTGCGGGGCATCCCCATTTTTGGGAGAAATAGTGGTATGTGAAGCTGATGTTGATGAAGTAGACAAAGAGGTTGTGAGAGAACCATATTCAAAGAAAATTATATTGTTCGCGTCCGATTACGTTGGTTAAAATATTAGATTTGGAAGAAAGCTTGAGAATGTCAATTTTTGATTGCCTTTCACCCGTGAAGAAATTGAAAATGGAGATCTTGCAATAAGAGATGGGGACCAGAAATTGCAACTGCAAACATGCATATGCATTGCACATGCTTTCCTTTTGGAAGGCTTATGGGTAAGTTGGTTATGCTTGAGAATTTAAAACCAAAGTCTAGGAAGGGACGAGGTTAGTGTTTTACACGTCCTCAATACTGTTTCTGCGGTTATGGGCAGTCACATTAGTTCCGTGGCGGGTTGGCTGTTTTAAGCAAATGGGTCACTAGACATTACAAAATGGAGGAAGGTTCGATGTTTTTAATGAAAAGAAATAAAAAAAATTTTTCTTACTATATATTCGTTATAAATTGATAAATGGATAAATCAAAATTGTTACTTTATCATTAATAATTTAGATATATATTAATATATTTGAATATTTCAATAAGTTATTCAGTAAGGCTCCGTGCGAACCGAGCTTGAGCCGCAGCTCGCAATATCTCAAGCCAGCTCATTTCGAGCCGGGCTTTGTACAGCTCGATCAATCTAGCTCGTGAGCCATATATAATTAATTTGTTTTAGAATGTTTTTTTGCGAATTTTGTATAGATTGTCTGGATAATTTAATGACCAGCCGCATATTTTTTCTATAAATTAACCGGCCAATCGAGATTTATTTTGTTTTTATTAAAATAAAAAAATAATAATTTTTTTTAAATTTTAAAAGGGTTTCTTCGCCAACAATTTTGGAAATAGAAAGTAGTGCAAAACTGTTGCAGCCTTAAGGGTGAAACTATTCATCAAGTGTCTCATTGAATAATTGATTAATATAAATAATTTTAAATATTTTACATTTAAATGTAAATATAATATATTTCAAATATAAATAAATAAGATTCAATAAAATAATATTAATAATAATCATTTTAAATTGCTAAATTATCTAAATTAACGCACCTTAAAATATTGCAAGTTAAAATTTTTTTGAGCCAGCTTGGCTCAGCTCGGGCCAAAATTTATATGGCTCGGTCTTGAAACAAGCCAAATTCAAATTAGTTTAAACGAGCCAAGTCACCTAAAAGCTTGCGGCGGAACCGTGATTATCAATGATATCTACGGCTTCATGTGGAATAACGTGAAATAACTGGTCTATATCACGAAGGGCTTTACAATTTTTAACTACTGAATACTGATAGACTACAGAATTTAGACTACTTGGAACTGAAAAAAGCATGAACTCTGAAATATCGTAATTTCAACCCAAAAATGCTTTACATTCGTTATATTAAATTGACTACAGTGTACTATAAAGCATCATACTGTTCAAAATCCTGGTTACCTTGGGTGATGAACATTATGGAGCTTCATACTATTCCTGGGATTTTCCTGACAATCATAATCTTGACAGTCAATGATCCCGGCATCGCATCGGCGACACCTATAAAAAATTTTCCGGGAAAACTCAAGGAAGATCAGAGATTGTAAGTCTCTAAGAAATAAAATAAGTGAATAAAATATAAATTTGATATAGCTCGAACTAAAGAGTTTAACGAAAGTTTACTATATCAAACGACATTTTTCATTATATATATCCCTATATTTCAAGTTCAAAATTAATTAATATTGGATTTAACATAAATGAGTTTCGCGATACAGTACAATATCAAGTGATCCATTAATACCTTATAAAAATTAAATATTCAAATGAAATACTGTGAAATACCACCTGTTCCACTCGATTTTCTATTTGGGGAAAGTTCTAACCCAGTAATTGGAACAAATGAAATTTCGTTACTTACACTTCCACTTGTAACGCTTGAGTTGAATAAGAAATGTATTGAATAACCATTAATAAATTTTAAAATGCAAATTTTAAAATTTAAAATTGATTAAATCGGATCTTTTCTAACGATGCAAGTGCCCTACAAAATTTACAAAGTTTTTAGTCACTATCACCTCATACCATATGAGCTTCAACTGTTCAATAATATTAATATTACAAATAACTTCGAAATTGATAATTATGAAATATTTCAAGTTAAAAAAAAAAAAAAAAAAATTACTTCATTTTTGTTAAATTTAAAAGAATGTTTTTCGCATCTTTTTAATTTTTTAAACATTGAGATAAAAACAAGAGAATAACACTTTCGATGAACTAAAAAAATTTATTTATTTATTTATTTATTTAATTCATGATTTTTTTTTTTTAGATAGGACAGAATTGAATACTAACATTCCTTTTTATTTTGGAACGGAAGAGAAATTATTTATACAAATAATCTGGTAGTTTAAAAGTTCTTGACAAGTTACCGGTTCATCAGCAGTCGATTGGCATGGTCAATGTTTTTCATGTAATCGAAGTTGCAATAAAATCGTGTAGTTCAATATTTTTGTTCAAATTTA